GGTCAAAAGAAAATATTTGTTGCCATATAATTTGAAAATAAAAATGTTTAATGGTCGATTAATTATTTACTTAGACACAAAAGTGGTCCACAAGAAAACGCTTCCTCCTATCGTCCTATCCTATGCATTGCTGCGTCATTTTTAGTTGTGCTTAACTTTGAATAAGACGTGATTATCCACAATTCTTTGAAATACCTTTTTAACTCGACGATAATATAAAAACTGAGCAGGTAGAAGATTACAATAGAATGATAAAATCGAAGCTAGAAATAGATCACGTGAAAGGGCAAGTTAAATAAAAATTCCCAAGAAACATAAAAAAAAAAAAAACTTAACAAAACTTAAACAAAAACAAGATACAAAGATCTTGGTTTTTTTTGTTTTTTTTCACTCCATGTACTAGTTAACATTAGCCGCCAACGAAGCCATGGTTTAACCCGCTTGTCCTACAGCTGAGGGCCAGCTCTTACTCTTAATTCAATGATCGAGTACTTCTGGATGTTATAGTCAGCTAAGGTCAGACCTTCGTCGAGCTGCTTGCCGGAAAAATCCAAGATCTGATTGTGCACCAGGATACCTTCTTGATCTTCGATCTTGGCCTTGACTTTTCCGATGGTGTCGAATCTGTCAACCTCTAGGATGATGATATTTCTTGTCATCAAAAAAATCTGTATGACTTCACCACGACGAAGCTTCGGTCCGCTCGGGCCTTCACCGATCTCGAGGTTGATGGTTTCGGAGCTATCAACCTCTAGGTTGATTTTCTTCTTTCCATCAACAGTATTTTTCGAAATCTGCATAACTTCACGAACGTCCGGTTGAATACATCGACCGTCTTCGTGAATTTTGAAGTCGATGGTTTTGGAGTTGTCGACTTCTAGGTTGATCGTTGTTTTTCCATCGATAGTCTTAATATAAATCTTCATTTTACTCACGTACGGTACGCGTTAGTGAAAGTGATTAAAAAAAAAAAGAGAAAATACTGCACAAGAAGATTAAGCAA